GTCACCCTCTCACTAACATACATTAAACTAAAAGAGTTGAGGTTTTGTTTTGTTTTTAAAAACTACTTTTTGTTGTTGTTGTTCCTGAAAGACAAGTCCCTCTGCCTTGTCTTAGCTGGGACAAGGCATTCTGACCTCATGGGGCAGTTTTCTATTCCTGAAAATCTTGCAATGTTTGCCACTTTATGAAAAGTGGCCAGTATTTAATATAGGCCAGCTACTTTCTCACAGATCAATTGCCACAGTGGGGAGGGTGAGACATTTGACACAGACAACCTGGAATTTTTATCAACAGGATCTGCGTGTTACCAAGGGAATTTCCCTAGAAGTTCCAGACCTGACCATGCTGCTGGCCACTTCCTCATTTCCCTAATGGCTGTGGGTGGAAAGATCCCAGTGCCTAACTGCCAAGCCTACTGCTTGTCTTTTGCCATCCTTGTGGATGTGTCTCCCTTTTCTCAGAGAGATATACATAACAGGGAGGTAAAAGAACCAATGAGGAAAGCTGAAAGGCACAATGGGGTGATAGAGCACAGCCCAAACTGTACTGCTTGTATAACTTTTAGCAACTCTCTTCCTCAGTATGAACCTTTGTTTCCTCATTTATAATATGAGTGGGTAAGACTAGATGATGGTCATTTTATAGCTGCCATTCTTGAGTCCTGATGGGACAAGGGAGACCATGTTAGGAAAGGCTGAGGCCATAAAGCATTCCTGTTTCATCTGTCCTGACCCTGTTAAATCAATTGTCAATTGCTTTCCTTCTGGTAGCACAAGCACCATTTTTTGAACATTTTTTATGTATCAAATACTGAACTAAAAGCTTTATATAGATTACCTCATGCCATTTTCAGAATAACTGATTAGGTAGGTACTCATACCCATTTTGTGGATGTGGAAAACAAGCTCAGAGAGATGAATAATTTATCTGAGGTTTCTTAGCTACTTAGTGACAGAGCCAAAATTCAAGCCTATGTTTAACCTCAAAGTCTATGTTCATAACCACAAGACTGTGGGAGGGTAAGGAAGGGGGGGCATGGACACTGACTCTGGAGCCTAGTCCTTTCCTGAGGTCAGAGAGGCAGGACAATAACCAAATTATTTCCCTACTGCATATAGGAGTCCACTGAAGCTTGGAACCCCAAGAAATGCCAGAGCTATAGTACTCAGGCCTGAGGACCCCAACTTGAACACTGGGGCCTCATCTGTGATCTCAACTGGGCCTTCCCTTAGGATCCATCTTCTGGTTGGGAGCCTTATGCTTATTTTGTTCACTTCCCTATTCTGGTGTTTCAGCTAGTCCTTGTCCTCAGCAGTTTCTCTGGGGTTCAGGGTGTGACTCATTTTTCTTTCTTTCCCTCCAGGGCCACATCTCCCAGGAAGATCTTGCCTCCCCACTGAAGCCCCTGGCCTGGCCTCCTGCAGTGCCACGCTCCGTGTATTTGACAAGCTGAGTTGGACACTCCGTGTGGTAGAGTGTCAGTTTGTCAAATACCCCAAGTGCGGCACATGCCTAACAGCTCCAGGCCAGGGCAGTTGGGATACAACAAATAAACTGCCAGCTGGATACAAGATCACTTGCCAAACATGAACTAATCTGTCACAAGTTATTTTCAGTGACTCTGAGGGAACTGAAGCATTGTATCTGAGGTTGCCAGGGGAAAAGTGAGGCAACTCTTGAAGCTATAGCCCTGTATTGTTTCTATATTGTCAGAGCCTGAGGGGGGCAAATGGTCTACCCTGAAAGGTATATAGGGCCCAGGGATGGAAGTGCTCTTTGATCCATATTTCCTTTCTTCACATTCCTCTACAGAGTTTCCCAGCAAGGACATCAGAATTTTCACACAAGCTTCATGACAGGGCTTAGAAACCCACTTTCCTGATACTCAGCCTTGACATCTAAATGCATTTTGACCTTATCTATATTTCTTCTTCTTCATGTCTTTTTTCCTCTGGTTATACTTTCTCCATTTTTTTTCCTGCCTATTCAATTATTTCTCATACTTCTGGTCCAGCCAAAATCTAGTCTCTCCAAAGACTTGTGAAAGTTAACTTACACTTTTTTTCTTCTTCATTTGAACACTCCTTGCCTTGGTCCTTATATGTACCCTTTTCTTCTCCTATTGCCTAATAGCACCTCTTGAACTGTTAGTAAACTTTTCCAGGGGATATTTTTGAATTCCCCACTAAATTGTGAGGACAACACCATGTTTCCTTGATTGCTGTCTCTCCTTTCCATCCCTACCCCAGCATGCAGATCAGTACTCTAGTTACAGAAAATAATAAATGTTTACTGATTGATTGACTTTGTACTAGACCACTATCCTTGGTTTTGGATCAAAATTCCATCCAGGAATTTTGTGAAAAAAAAATTAAACTGTGGTCATCATAATGCAATAGGATATGTGAGGGGTTTTCCTCCTGAGAAATAGAGTCAGGGCTGGAGGAGGAAGGCAAAAAAAGTAGGCTCAGAGGACAAATATGTTTTGGAATTATTTGGTAACTCAAAGTTGTACAGGTGCTTTATTTCAGAACTTTCAGAGCCTTTAATATTCTAATGTTGCATTGGAAATCTCCAATAGGGAGCTATAGAATGAAACATTTCTCATGCCTATCTAATCGTGGAATTTTTTTTCTGTAGGCCATCTCTTGGACAAAACTTGGAAAACTGTCCTAGAGGGACTTTGTATCTTCTCTCTCTTTTGGGAATCTCTTTTTTTCAGTCTTCCAGCTTTCCCTGACTAGACATCTGCTTAAAACAATTATATATTATCATCCCATGTTTATTTAGCTTACCTTGCAGGTTTGGGCTAGCCCTATACCCAGGACTCTCTTACTGGCTTGTCTTGTATGGAAAAAAAGTATTAGTTTTTGGGCAAAGATGATATCCAGAAGCTTTCTACTGCAATGAATATGCTCCTAGGAGTTCACAGACCTGTTTTCTGATCTCTGTTCTGTCATTGACTTGATGTGTGTGACTTTAGACTGTTACTGTTCCTCTCTAGGCTTTATTTCCTCACCTGTAATAAGGGAGAATTAAAATCAATGATCTCTAAGCTTTTTAAGACAAGAGACTCTGAAATATCCCTGGGAGTCCATAGCTTCTATGGGAGTAACAGGGGAGTGTCCCTGGGTTTGGGGCTCTTTTTATTAATGGACATATGGTTAGGATTCTCTTCTTCTTTTTTTTTTAATTAGGTTGTCTTTTTACTAGGATTGCAAATAGCTTCTATGTTCTTTTTTTTTTAAAGATTTTATTTATTTATTTGAGAGAGAGAGAATGAGAGCCAGAGAGCACGAGAGGGAAGAGGGTCAGAGGGAGAAGCAGGCTCCCGGCTGAGCAGGGAGCCCGATGTGGGACTCCCGGGACTCCAGGATCATGACCTGAGCCGAAGGCAGTTGCTTAACCAACTGAGCCACCCAGGCACCCTAGGATTCTCTTCTTAACCCCAGTCATTCCTTTCTCTAAGGGTAGTAGGAAGAGATAATTTTTTTTCCTGAGGCTGTGGGGTCTGGACACAGCTGTTTTGTGAAGGCAGCTGAGGTTTCCCCTGGGTGGGTCCTTGTTTCAGAGGCTTGTAAGCATGATGGGGAAGAATAAGTTGCTCGTTTCACCAGCTATGTGAATCTGGCATATTGGCGAAAACACTGAGGTTTTGATCATGGACTTGGTGGGTAGATGGTGGTGAAGCAGAGGATTCCTTCTTGTTCATTTCTTTGTACTATTTTGACTTCTGTAATCATCCAAAGAGAAGCTCTTGGTGAAACCTGAGCTGACCTTAGGACTGCACTGGAATCAAAAGCAGCAAAGACAGGTTCCATGAAGAGCAAAGAGGTTGATTTGACATGAATTATATGAAGGAAAGGAAGTAGTGTTGAGCCAGCCTAGAACAGGTCCTCACAGAGAAGACTGAAATAAAGCTGTATGCATGTGTGCACACACACAAATGGACAAACACACACACACACACACACACACCCCTACACTCTTATTTCCCATTTATGCTTGATGAAAAAGACTTCCTTGCTTTGACCCTCACTCTACAGTGTAAGAAGATGCCAGGGGATAGAGATAACTTATGATGAATACAACTACTGCAAAGATTTTAGGATTCTAGGAGGTAGAAATCTTTGAGGGTGGTATATCCATACTTTGGAAAGAAAGGATCCCTTCATCTCTGCATCCACAGTCCCCTGAAACAGAAGAAGGGATCCTTCATTTTCAGGTTTCCAATTGACTTAAGAGAGTCATCCAGGTGGAGTTGGCAGGGTTACAGAGAAAGAGATAGAGGACAGTTGGGTTCTAACTTGCCAAACATTCATTGTATCCCAGATGGGTCCACCTCTGAAGTAAGGTAAAGATGGCATGGGTGGGAAGGAGAAAGACCAAAAAAGAAAAGGTGCTATTTATAATTCCAAGTCCCCAAATATCTCAACTAGTCTCACTTTAATCACTTGGTAGGTACTTGAGAGAAGACCAATACAACCAAGGTTGCTATCATGATTAGATATTTATTGAGCATCAAAAGAATACCAGAGCACTAGACTCACAGTTCAGGAGCAAAACTGAATCCTGACCTGTTACTTACAAATCTTATTTAAAAGCTATCTGGCCCTAAAAAAAAGGGAAGTGATCCTGGAAACAACTGGTCCCCTGAGCTAGCAAAGCTGAGTTTCCCTCTGGTCTTCTGGTGGCAAGAGGCCAAAGTTGCGTGGTATCTGGAGGCATGATGACCAAGTCTTAATGCTATGGGAACTTCCCTCTGGTGTTCGAAGAGAAGCAGTAGAAGAAGGGAAAACAGAAGGGTCTAAGACCTTACCCAGTAGCAGTGCATATGGTAACTTCTTAGGTAGAACGAATCACTCTTAGGAACCTCAGTGTTGGGCAGGGAAGACATGTTGGGTCATCCAGGAAGAGAGGTAGCAGGGAAGGTGGCTATGCCGAAAGCAGGGGCTTAATAGGCAATTATATCAGCAGGCCCTGGCTTAGCAGGGCATTTTTAGCAGACGTCCTTGTCCTTGGTGGCCAAAAGCTCATAATCTGGAGGAACTGAATGCAGCAGGTGAGCATAGTCATTGTTAATCTGGGCGATGATCTGGCACTTCTGGCCCAGGCAGGGATCCTCGGAGTAGTCATTGCCTGAGGTCTGGGAAGATGGCTCTTCGTTGGAGCAGCCACTTGTGAAAATGGCCACTCTCCAGGTTTCACCAGAATTGCTGGCCTCCCTGGCATGTGCCCTGTGGCCCAAGATCCCACCATCCGTAAAGAGGGAATTGAGGCTGGGATTCTAATTTCCCACACTTCTGTCCCAATTCTTGCCAACTGACCCTTAGGTTCTTGCTTTATCAAGGGATTCTGGGAATAGGAGGTTGATGGACCTGGATTATCCTGTGTGATCAGTGAGCCAAGAAAAAACCTCAGGAGGTGCTTCAGAGAGGGAAGAAAGCAGTGTCCTGACCCTGAAGGCCTCTGGGCTTAGAATTGGGTTTGTGCCAACCTCTTTTTCCTCCATGCCAGTGACTAACAGAATGAGGGCAGGGAAGGGTTCAGAAGATGGAAGAGAAGAGGCAGTCTTACCTGGCCACTTCGTAGACATGCTCTAGAAAAGAAGGAAGAATCAAGTCAGAAGTCTCCATGGGGAGGGGACAAGGGCTAAAAGTGGACACTGGTTACCAGTCAAAGGGTAAGGGAAGGGGAGAGAGAAGGGGGGATTGGGAGGTATTGGGAAGGTAAACTGAAGCACAAGGATACAGATTTCTCAGACAAAGGAAGAGGAAGCACACTTGGTTACTATCCTCTTTGGCATACTCTTGACTCAGGACATTGGGCTGGAACAGTTGCTTGGTGTGGTGGCGGAGGGACATTGGAACTGGACCCACTCCCCACCCAGGAATCTTGCCAAAGATTCCAGGGAGTTTTTGTGGAAACTTGGTGGCCAGGCCAGAGCCCAGGCAGAAGGGGCTGAATTAATCTGTCAGGGACCATGACCAAATCCAAAATGCATTCACCTCCGCGGTGCACCCAGGATAGGTCTTTAAATAGAACACCACTGCCCCCTAGTGTCTGTGGAGGAGAACTATTTACATTCCGTGCAGGCTTAAAGGCTCTAATAACCTGGTACAAAGATAGATGTCTCTTGGTACTGCCCTCTAGGAGTTTATAATCTTACAGGAATACAACTGGGAATGCATGCATTAAACCACAACAAAGCAAACAGAGCATGCCATACACCCTCTACTTTGTGATACAGCCATGTGTTTCCATGTCTTACCTCCCCCATTGGCCTGGTAGTTCCCATAACAGAGGTATTATCTATTTCATTATTATATGCCCACTGCCTGGCACATAGTGGGCAATCAGTAACTACATATTACATTGAACTGATGGCCCAAGGCTATCTCTCTCTTATAGAGAGGTAAATAATAGAAATTTTGGGAAAGCAATCTAGATGGGAAAAAAACATAAGACCATGAGGTGTATGGCCTATCCTCCTTTGACTCCAGTGATTGGAAATGAAAATAAGGAGTGGTGGGGGTCAAGAAGATAGGCTACATCAGAGAGGACCTTAAATGGAATACAACATTTTGACTTCTATCCCCTGGGCCATGAGAAGCCCTGGAAGGTTTTTGAGAGGGAAACAATCAAATATGGTTACAGTTTATACCTAGTCTCATTGAGACCATGATGACTATTTTTCCTTTAGTATTCCTGGGATTTGTGGCTACTTGAGATATCTCTACTTTCAAGTTCAGCCTCATGAGTCATAGCTATGCTAACTGGCCAAGACCAGAGCTTATACTTAAGACCCAAGAGAAGGAAATACTCAAGGCTCTTTTCTCCCCTTTGGCTGGAGGAAATCATGGTGGAAACCAGGCTACTTGGGAATAGGAGCTACTACAGAGAAAAAGACACTAATGTTAGGCAAAATGGCCAGTGCAGTAGGTATTGAGGTGTAGCTAGGTTTTACTTAGAAATCAACATCCAAACTCTCTTTTTCCTCCTCTGTTGGCTCACAGTTGTTAAATGGTCCTGACAAATGCACCTTCATAATGTCACTCCTTCGCTTAAAAAAAACATTGTTGACTTTGAGTTCCTTTGCAAGGCCTAGAGAAAAATTTCCAAGTTCCTTAGGCTCTTATTTAAGACACTCCATAATCAGGAGTAAACTTTTCTTTTCCCCTGCATTTACCCATGTATTTTCTACATTGATGACCCCACTCACAGTCATCTTTTAAACATTTGCACCTTTACTCTTATAGTTCCTTCTTTCTGGAATGCTGCCTTCTAATTTGTTTTCATCCTCCAAGGCCTGGTTAATCACTTCTAATTTGTTTTCATCCTCCAAGCCCTTGTTAATCACTTCAGCCCTGACTCTCTTCTCTGAAAACCTTTAGCATTGATTGTTTTCTCCAGGTTTTGAGTCTATAGCCTATATTGCTATGTATGGATATTGATAAATTCCATGTTTCTACTTTGAATCTTCTAAATAAATTCTAAGCAACTTGAGGCCAAAGATTGTGACTTCTCTTTCTCTTACATCCTCGTTAGACAATCCATTACAGAGATGGCTTGTACTAGGCTTGGTACTAAGGATTTATGAATTAACTTCAATAAATCATATTGCCATTGTTGGCTTGCATGTCTGCCTCCATGCACCCCTACCCTCAATCCCAAACTATCCTAAGAGCACTTTGAAGTGCCCAGCACAGTGGCTGACACAGAATTTATGCTTAACTATATTCTCAGAATGAATTAATGAGCAAAGTCACTCAGTCATACTCATCACTCACCTTGCTGGGATGTCTTCCGGCAAAGCATAATATAAGCCATGATGAAGACCACCATACAGCACAGGGAAATGATGAGAACAATGGAAAAGACAGGCAGGCCCTTTCCTAGGAGGCAAAACAAGACAAAGAGATATATGGTTGAAAATGAGTTCAGAAACAGATTCCAAGGATCAGCCCAGACTAGCCCATAACTCTTTTTTTTTTCCATTTTTAATTTTCTCCTAGCTTTATTAGCTAATCAGAGAGACAAACAAGACCCCAGACCTATGAGAAAGACTGGAAAGAGGCTAGAGACTCCATGTATAAACACATTCTTCCAAACCCACTAATTGATGGCTGATTGGCCTGGGCATTTGAATTAGTACTCCATGTTTTCCATGGGGCCAAGACTAGAGATTTTCACCTACTCCTTTTTTTTTTTTCACCTACTCTTAAGAGAAAAGAGTACCTTGACTTCCCACTTCACAAAAATGCTACCTTATTGATATTTTGGTCAATTACTTCTAGCCAAAACGTTTTTTTTTTTTTTTTTTTTCCCTTGGGAAACCATCTTACACTGTGGGAATGCAAACTGGTGCAACCACTCCGGAAAATATCATGGAGGTTCCTCAAAAAGTTAAAGATAGAACTACCCTACAACCCAGCAACTGCACTTCTAGGTATTTATCCAAAGGTTACAAACATAGTGATTCGAAGGGGCACATGCACCCTAATGTTTATAGCAGCAATGTCCACAATAGCCAAAATGTGGAAAGAGCTCAGACGTCCATTGACAGATGAATGGATAAAGAAGATGTAGTATATGTATATATACAATGGAATATTACCCAGCCATCAAAAAGAATGAAATCTTGCCATCTGCAATGATGTGGGTGGAACTAGCAGGTATTATGCCAAGTGAAATAAGTCACTCAGAGAAAAACAAATACCATATGATTTCATTCATATGTGTAATTTAAGAAACAAAAAAGATGAGCATAAGGACACCTGGGTGACTCAGTTGATTAAGCGTCTGCGTTTGGCACAGGTCATGATCCCAGGATCCCGGGATTGAGTCCCACATCAGGCTCCATGCTCAGTGGAGAGCCCACTTCTCCCTCTGCTTGTTCTGCCTGCTCTGCCTGCCACTCCCCCTGCTTGTGCTATCTCTCTCTGACAAATAAATAATAAAATATTTTTAAAAAGATGAGCATAGGGGAAGATAAGGAAAAAAAATAAGATAAAAACAGAGAGGGAGGCAAACCATAAGAGACTCTTAACTCTAGGAAACAAACTGAGGGTTGCTGGAGGGGATATGGGTGGAGGGATGATGTAATTGGGTGATGGGCATTAAGGAGGACACATTCTATAATGAGCACTGAGCATTATATGCAACTGATAAATCACTAAATCCTACCCCTGAAACTAATAATGCACTATATGTTAACTAAATTGAAATTAAATTTAAAAAAAAATTAGAAAATAATTCTGGGCAAGTGCTCAGGTTTCTTTTTCTTCAAAAATGTGTCCACTGAGTCTCCTGAGTTAGCTATCCCAATTGTGCCTACAAACTCAAGGAAACCACTGGACTGGGCTTCTAGTCCTGGATCTGTTATTTACTTGTATGACTGTGGCAGACAGAATAATGGTTATCCAAATATGTTCACATCCAAATCCCCGGGATCTCTGAGTATTTTAGTTTAAATTATAAGGAGGAATTAAGGTTGCAGATATATTTAAGTTTGCTAATTAACTGACCATGAGATGGGGAGATTATCTTGATTACCTGGGCAGGCTCAATGTAATCAAAAGAGTAATTTAAAAGTGGAAGAGGGAAACAAAGGAGATCAGAGTTAGAGAGAGACTTGAGGATGCTACATTGCTAGTTTTGAAAATGGTGGAAGGGGGCCAAGAACCAAGGAACGTGAGTAGCTTCTAGAAGCTGGAAAAAAGCAAAGAACCTGATTCTTCCTCAGAGCCTCCAGAAAAAACAGCCCTGCTAATACTTTGATCTTAGCTCAAAGTGTCAGATGTCTGATCTCCAGGAATGTATGATAATACATTTGTGTTATTTTAAGGCACTAAGTTTGAGGCACTAATTTTTATAGCCCTTAGAGAAAAATAAATAGCGACTACTCAAATTATTGAGTAGGATTTAGTTTTCTCATAAGTTCAATGAAAAGATTGTATAATGTCTAATGCACTTGTAGCTACAGTATTCTGAATCTAGGGGGTGAGATCAGGGATAGACAGGGGTAGGAATCCCACTGCCCTTAGGATTTGTTGCTGCAACTGGCTTTATTTTTACCATACCCTAAAATACTTTGTCTTAGAAATCTGGAATATTACTCAGTCATAAAAATAATGTGATTTTTGTCATTTGCAAAAACATGGATGAATCTAGAAGGTATCATGCTAAGTGAAAGAAGTCGGAGAAAGACAAATACCATATGACCTTACTCATATGTGAAATCTAAGAACCAAAGCAAATGAACAAAGAAAACAAGAAAACAACAACAACAACAACAAAAACCAGACTCTTAAATATAGAGAACTGGTGATTGCCATCAGGGAGGTGGATGGGAGGATGGGTGAAATAGGTGAAGGGGGTTAAGAGTACACTTATCATGATGAGTGCTAAGCAATGTATAGAATTGTTGAATCATTACATTATATACCTGAAACTAATATAGCACTGTGTGTTAATTATACTTGAATTTAAAAAAATAAATTTAAAAAATCTGATATTTGTGATCCTCAGAACTATGGTTGGAGCTGAGAGAACCCAAGCTACATTTCTTCTTTGATTTCCTGATTGACCTATTCATTGTTTAGTAGCATGTTGTTTCACATCCATATATTTGTGGTTTTTCCAAATTTTTTTTCATGTGGTTGACTTCAAGTTTCATAGTGTTGTGGTCAGAAAATATGCCTGGTATGATCTCAATCTTTTTGTACATTCTGAGGCCTTATTTCTGACCTAGGTTGTAATCTATTCTGGAGAATGACCCATGTGCACTTGGAAAAGAATGTGTATTCTGCTGCTTTGGATGAAATGAGAGAACCCAAGCTATAAACTGATGGAGATTAAAGGAAGGATCCCCCTTAGAGGGAGCCAAGTAGTGAACAAAACAAAACAAAACAAAACAAAAAACAAAACAAAACAAAAACGGTTGGAGGATGTTGGGCACACAAAAAATATCTGAGAATTTCCATTCCCCTTGGGTTATCTTCTCATTTTCTCAAACCAACTCTCCAAAAATTATCTTCTAATCTCCCTTGTTTCATTGGATGTTGCTCTGCAAGAGGCATGGAATTACAGAAGCCTTTAAGTCAAAGGTGGCAACCCAAAAGTAGCCCACAAAACAGGTTTGAACTATACCTAAAGATAGACAAAAAGCTGTGCAACCAGCAGGGGAGAAGTACATGGGCATTAAGAAATCCACAATTATTGAACATAATAAAACAAAAAAATAAATAAAGGTCCTATCTCTCCCCCAAAATTAAAAAAAAAATAGTTAAGAAATCCACCATTAATGATACACAATTAAAGGATGAAACCAGTCGTGATAGCCATCACTATTTAGCATCAACTAATTGAAACAGATGCTTACTGTAAACCTGGAGTCTCAGAAGCCCCCTGCCATACTAGCCATCGACACTTTTGTTGCAGGACCATGTGTTGTCTGGAGAGCTCTAAGGGATAAGGCAGACCAGCTCAGGTGATGATAAGTTGTTCAGTGACTAAGGAAAGCATCTAATTATCAACTACTATAACATTTTTTTCACTATTTTAACCATCAATGCAGTCATATCAGGGCATACAAGCTGACTATAAGCTCCAGGTGAAACACAAAAAAGCTTCTCTTTGGGGTTTAGATCTTTGAGATCATGACTTAGGGATCCTTGAAACTTTGGAGAAATTAGAAATCAGCTGCAAGCTGCTTGGTGAGCCCTGGTTAAGAGCTCAAGTAATGAGGCCCTGAAAATACCCTTATGTAGTCCAATGCCCATCTCCTTAGGAGAGTTGGCTGAGGTCATGATCCCATTCTTATTCTTGCTTAGAGTATTTGGGAGGTGTATTACTATGACAACAGAGGACCAGCTAAGAACACATCTACCACTTAACCCCATTTTGACTTTGCTCATTACTGAATTTATATCTCTCCCTCTCCATACCACCAACCCTGCTCATCTCCAGGGTCTTTGAGCTTTGTGTGGCAAAGTTTTGAAGAATTAAATTCCACAGAACAGTGTGTATTGTGGAAAGTTTCAGTTGCAAAGTTCAGAGCCAAGAAGGAAGGATAGAAATCCTGACTTTTCCTTACCTGGCTCAGCACTGGTCTTCCCAAGGTAGCCATCCACTTCAGTGGTCCAGTTCCAAATCAGGTTCACTGTGGAGGTTGCTATGAGAACAAAGTACTAGGCTCAGAGGCCTCTTTTCCAGCCAAGAACTATGAGGTAGAGCATGACTGCAAAGTTTGGGTACCTTCATCGGGCATCAATGCTGAGCTTTCCAGAATTCCTGGCCATGTATTGATCATTAGTATATGAGATGAAGTATCTTAGTTGCTTATCATTAGTGGTGGGAAGAGGCCCATGGAAGGGGTGGTGCAACATATCCAAAATCCCACAGAAAGTCAAATTAGGAGCAAAACAGAAGTCAGAGCTTTCTCTTTTCTCACGTGAGTATTCCAACTTTCTCTTACTTTTGCCTCAGAAGTTTTCAAAAGAAGAGTATACATATTTATGATTTCACTTTTTTTCAACTTTTTAATCATTGCTACCTTTCTTTTATTTCCATTTTGTTATTGTCATGTTTTCTCTGAGGAGCCCAGTGACCTCTTGTTACCCATAAAATGGCATGGAGTCTCCCCCTTTGGCTTCCATGGCATCATTTCAGGACTCTATTGCACCCGAACCATAGTGAAACTCACCTTCCAAGGGAGATTTCATGGTTGTAGGTGCTTCAGTCTTAGGCTTGAGTGGTTTTGAGGAATCTGCAAGGAAAGAGAGCCCAGTCAAGGGCCCTGGCACCTTGAGTGAACAGTTGAATGCCCTGGAGAAATTAGTAAATGAGTAAGAAAGCTAACTAAGAGGAAGTAAGTAAAACCAGTCAGGTCTATACCTGAACCTCTCTCAACACTTTTCTCATGATGCTGGAAAGTTGGGTGTTACCTGTTCATCCTTCACATCACTTCAAGGTAGGATTCTTAAACCAGGGTTCATAGACGCCCAAGGAATGTGTAACTAGAGTCTAGAGGGTCTTTCAACATGAATTGGAAAGACATTTTGTTTTTACTATCTTCTGAAATTTAGCTACTAATTTTCTTGAGAGGGACTTAGAAAATATTACAAAGAAGTTGGCTGTGGGTGATGTCAATGGAATAGTAGAGTTATGACTTCTGGATATTTGTTTCTTCACAGAAGCAATACAATAACTGACAAAATTTTTCAAAATCAACAATTTTTTTCCAAAATTAAAAAGAAAATAGCCAAAGGTTTGCATCATCAATCCAGGGAATATTTTTTAGAAAACAAAACAAAACAAAACACTTCACTGTTGTTAATAAGAGCAATTTGGTGTCATTTGCATTACCATAACCCTATTACTCCTCCCCAGGCCAATAGTAGCTTTGACTGAGCAGAACAGATCAATTTCCAAATAACCGTCATTATTGACCTGTGCAGTGGATTTCCTGACTCAAAAGGCTTGTTTTTATTAGTTATCCAGTGCTACAACTCTCCCTTGAGAGAGGGGTATATGTGTCACATAGCTGCCTGAGACAATGGATAACAGTTGAGGGAAACAAGAGACAGACCAAAAAACTTAAAAAGAAAAACTGAAGAATGAAATGTCAATAGGAGCTTTGAAAATCTCTGACACATTCCTAAGAATCTAGAAGGTCACTGCCAAGTATAGTGCTGTGTGCATGTTCAGGAAATACATGAGAAGATCATAAGGTTTTCCCTCTGGCTAGCCTTGAGACTCCATGTAAGCAAGGAGTAAAGGTTATGACACAGTTATAAGCTGCCTGGGTGAGTGCTCAAGACATATTTCAACAGGCAACAGAGACCTTTAAAAAAGATTTATTAGTTTTAGGTATTTAAGGAAATCTCTATTCAATCATTAGCTGACCACTAAGCTAATATAATAGAGACTTCACTGGCCATCTATGACAAAGAATACAAAAAACTATACTGGATTAATTCAGAAAAGTCAATAAACAAATAAACAGCAAATAACACAACAAACAATGTCAACAAGAAGCCCTGGAGAAAGTGAGAATCAGACTTCAATAATTGTCACATTATGTTATTTAAAAACTTGTTTTCAACAAAAATATGAGATACTCAAAAAAACTAGAAAGCTCATAAACAGGTAAAAAAAATCAATAAATGGAAACTGTTTCTGAGGAAGCACAGGTATTAGACTTGCTAAACAAAGATTTTGAATAAAATATTTTAAATATGTTATAAAAATCTAAAGGAAACCATGCCTAAAGAACTGAAAAAATGAAACTGATTCAAACCATATAGAGAATATTAATAAAGAGACATACATTATAAGAGAAGAACCATCTAGAAATACTGGAGTTGAAAAGTAAAATCACCAAAAAGAAAAAAAAAATCACGAGGGGGAGAAAAATTTACTAGAGCTGATTAAAATGGCAAAAGAAAGAATCCATAAACTTGAAAAGATGACAATTGAAATTAGCCACAAAAACAGAAAAGAAAAAGAATGAGGAAAAATGAGCAGTACCTCAGAGACTTGTGGGACACCATCAAGTGTACCAATGTACACATAATAAAAGTCCTAGAAATACAGGATAGAAAAGGACAGAATATTATTTTTAAATAATGTCAAAAAAAGTCCCAATTTGATGAAAAGCATTATTCTGCAAATATGAGAAGCTCAGTGAACTCTAAGTAGGAAAATCTAAAAAATCTATACCTAGACACATAATTAAAAGCCAAAGCCATGAAACAATATTGAAAGCAGCAAGAGAGAAGCATATCATCATGTATAAGAGATTCTCAATAAGATTTATGACTGATTTCTCACTATGTAAAACAGGAAGGAGGTTCCTCAAAAAGTTAAAAATAGAACTACCTTATGACCCAGCATTTGCACAACTAGGCAGTAATCTAAGGGAAAAGAAAATGGTGATTTTAAGAGGCACATGGACCCCAATGTTTATAGCAGCACTATCTACGATAGCTAAAACATGGAAAGAGCCCAAATGTTCATCAACTGATGAATGGATAAATAAGATGTAATTTTATTTTTATTTTATTTTATTCCATATATAATGGAATATTAGTCATCAAAAAGAATCAAATTTTGCCATTTGTGATGATGTGGATGGAACTAGAGTGTATTATGCTAAGCAAAAGTAGTCAGTCAGAGAAAGAAAAATACCATATGATTTCACTCATATGTGGAATTTAAGAAACAAAACAAAACAAAACAGATGAACATGGGGGAAAGGGAGGAAAAACAAAATAAGATAAAGATAGTGAGTGAGGCAAACCATAAGAGACTCTTAACTATAGGGAACAAACTGAGGGTTGCTGGAAGGGAAGTGGGGGAGGATGGGGTAATTGGGTCTTAGGGAGGGCACTTGATGTAATGAACATTGGTGTTACATGCAACTGATGAGTCACTAAACTCTACCCCTGAAACTAATATTACACTATATGTGAGCTAACTTGAATTTAAATAAAATCTTTAAAGAAAAAAAGATTTACAGCTGATTTCTTACTGGAAGCAATGGAAGTTTTGACACACTGAGATGACATTCAAAGCTCTAAAACAAACATCCCATCAATCAAGAATTCTATATTTAGCAAAACCGTCCTTCAAAAACAAAGGAGAAATTGAAGCATTCCAAGATAAACAATAACTGGGAGACTTTGTCACTGGCTAATTTGTCCTACGAGGAATCTTAAAAAGAATTCCTCAAACTCAAATAAAAGGACACTAGGTAGTAACTTGAATCAACATGAAGAAATAAAGCATCAATGAAGATAACTACATAAGTAAATATAAAGAAGGTATAAATGTTTTTTTGTTAGTAACTCTTTTTCTTCTATCTGATTTAAAAGACAACTACATAGTCTCCAGATAGCTGAGTAGTAGGGGGACCCTATGGTTGCTTTGTCCCTCAAACACAGCCATATAAATGTCAAATCATTCTAGGGAACACCCAAGAAATTGATCTGAAGACTGAGAGAACAAACTGCATATCTAGAACCAGAAAAATGGCTACACTGTGCAAGGTACTGCAGAGAGTTGATTTGGGGGAGGAAAAAATTGTGGGTGCTACAGAGGTGAGGGACCCCTGATCAGAGAGAGGAGTGAGATAGAAAGAGAGAGTGAAAGAATGAAAACAGCATGCAGGGGACTGAACAAAAACAACAAAAACTCGTCCCCAAACCATTGTTTGGGAAAAGGAGTGGGGCTGACTATCACAAGTTTTTATAAGCAGGGGAGCTCAAAGTCTGAAGTTTTAGAAGTCTGTACCATCAACAGTGTTGTGCCTGGTGTGCTTAGCAGTGCTTCTGTGGGGAAGGAGGGCAGAGGTCCAAGAGCAGATAGTGTGGGTTGCATGTGGAGAAACAGTTCCCCTTCTTGGAGTGCATTTGGGAGAGGTGGTACTGCCTCTCAGGGAACAAAAGAGAAGGTGGGAGCTATTGGTGGTCCCATTAATTAGCATAGCAGCAGAGGCAACTGTTGAAGGCAACTAACCTGGAAGCAAGTTTTGGGCTGTTCTTTACTGTAAACTCCTAGCCCCACATGGTCGTGGGACTGTGTTTCTAGGACAAAACAGCAGTAGCCACAGCATGGTGAGACCCTCCCCCAGAGGACCAGTGCAGGTCTGGTCTATGCCAGGTCCCCAAAATTTGGAGCTTTGAAACTCAGCCACATGCCTGAGATAGACACAGTAGTACAGTGCCACCAGGTAGGCAGATGGCTCAGACACAGACAGAGTGAAGGCACGAGAGGGAACAGAAGAAGGGAGATTGTTCACTCTTCTGTGAGGGCTTCCTAAACAGCAACAGGTGCAAACTCCCCTTTCTGGGGTTGAGAGAGTGGAGTGACACTGTTTTCCCCCTGCCCACCAGAAGGGACAGACTTCAGTGAGCAACACAGTACTCCCAGTGGAGGCTGGAACAACTTACACCAAGCCCCACCCTACTACACACTGCAGGTACATCTATACAAGGACAAGTAGCCTGAGAACCAGTGCAGCAGGCCCCTGCCCCAGAAGACCAGCCCAAGACCCCTGCATGCGCCAAGTCTACGGATCATAGAGTGCTGCAAAGCTTCAGTTCTAGGGGAAATAGGACCTAGCCTTTTCTAACAGGCACACTGAAACACACTTCGTTAAAAGTTGCCACACACTGGACCAGGTCCAAACACTCCACACTGCAAGCAAGAAGAAACTCTGCAGAGGACTGATCAGAAGGAAAGAGCAGTCAAGGCACAAGAATGGAGTGCACACAGCATACACCAAAAAACCTTCCTAAAGCACCATGCTCTGGACAGTATATGACCTCTTCTTAATATAGCCATTACTCTCAAGAGCAGGAAACATAACAGCTTTTCCTAACACACAGTAAACAAAGGTCTAGGCAAAATGCCAAGATGGAGGAATTCATTCCAAAAGAAAGAACTGGAAGACATCATGTCCAGGGATCTAATCAAAACAAATATAAGTAGGGAGTGGGGGGTGAGGCGTTAAGATGGTGGAGGAGTGGGGACCCTAAGTTTGTCTGGACCATGGAATTCAGTTAGATAGTTATCACATCATTCCAAACACCTAAAAAATCAGAGATCCGACATAAGAAATGTTGCAATTCTACTAATAGGAAAGTGATGACTTTTTGGAAGGTAGAATGTCCAGAGACTTGAATCCAGGGTGATATATCTGAGGATATGGTGAAGGGGAGGAAGCCGGCTTAAGGAGGCTACCGCAAAGGATGATAAACAGCC